TTATAAACTTCAAGATTCAAGAAGTTTATTGTCGTATACACTGCAAAACACAAATGGTTACACTGAGCAACGGTATTCTTACTTTGCACCAAATGCACCATAAATTGGCTGCAATGTTTGCATGCAACAAGACAAACCCCCTCTATAGGTGGTTTTCAGTAATTAGCCATAATTGTACAATATTTTATGTCAGCCATAACCATGCAGTATTTTTGAATCAGTTCCAAAAGTTTGTGATGCTGTTTAAAATGTAAATAAGAGCAGCAATTTAGAAATTTTGGAACACAACTAAAAAAGACAAAGTTAAATGGTAAATTACACTGGTGAAATACCTATAAGCATTAGGTAAATGGATATCTATGTTAATGGAAGTAAGCAACACTAGCCACCACTGGGCAGGGACGTCTAATCGTCTTAAAGCTTAGAACCTAGAAAAAACCACATATTACTTTCCCAAGTATTTATCCAATTAAAGGCTTAAGCCACTGCCATCTAACAAGCATTCCCTCAAGTATTTATACAAGAAATCACGAGAATCTTTTTTTCTATTGTGAAAGCATCAAAAAATGTTAACGATTCTACTTTCTCGGTTTTTTTTTCTCATAACAATAAACTCCATTGAACATATCTCTATATAGATATAGTTATATACCTGTCTGCTCAAAAACTACACACACCCCATTCCAGTAGCTCATAGAACAACTTTTGGCAGCAACAATGTGAAGTATTTGTTTTCTGTATGACTTTCATTCTCTCACTCATTGTGAAGGAATTTTGGCCCATTCGTTTTTGCAACATTGCTTCAGTTCAGTTCTGAGGTTTGCTGGTGTTCATTTGTGCAAAGTTCTCCTAAGGTCCCACCACAGCATTTCAGTTGGAATGAGGTCTGGACTTTGTCTTAGCAACCATCATTTTCTGTTTTTTGTTTTTTGTTTTTAGACTTGCTGCTGTGCTTCTGATCATTATCCTGCTGCATGACCCAGTTTCAGCCAAGCTCACTCAACGACTGCAAGGTGTCCAGGTCTGACGGGGTAAAAAGGCTGTAAAACAAATACAAATCATCACCCAGCCATGCCTATCAGTATGACATGTACTGATTTCACGTGTCCAAAGAAAATTGTTCCAGCAGTCTTGTGGTTTGATCAGCTGCAACTTGCTGCTGTGCTGCAAAACTTTCTTTTTTTTTTACAGAGAAGAAGCTTTAATTAAAAGATTCTTCTCTGAAAATAATTAATATTCTGTAAATTATGTGATGTAACACTTTTTTCAGTTTCTCCAAGCATTGCAAAATCTGACACTGGGATGAATTTGCTAAAACATGGTAAATGGTCTGTATTTATATAGCGCTTTACTAGTCCCTAAGGACGCCAAAGCGCTTTACATATCCAGTCATCCACCCATTCACACACACATTCACACACTGGTGATGGCAAGCTACATTGTAGCCACAGCCACCCTGGGGCGCACTGACAGAGGCTACCTATCCTATCAAGTGTGTTCTTTCACAGGACTACACAGATTACTGTTTCAGATTTCTTTTGGATGTGATTGTATTTAGTGTAACAATTTAAACTTGCAAAAGTCTTGAGCCACCCCTTTTTTCTTATACCTTGTCTCTAATGAGACAGAGAGTTTTGTAATTTTTTATATTGTTATGAGCAATATTTCTCCAGGCTTTCTGAAGGTCTTCAAAGTTTTTCCTCGGACATTGGCTGTCTTTTTGCTCATTTTTAATCCAGTCCTTGTATCTGACCATTTGTTTTTGTATCTTTAGGCACTTTGTTACTACCAGCACATAATTTGTTCCCATCTCTGATTTGAATGTAGGAAAAAAAATAATAAATAAAAAAAAGATATCACAGTTTGACAGGCATAAAATTGTTTTGTTTGTTTTTTACACCAAAAAGTAAATTCCCAAGCTTCTTGGCATATCTCAGCATTGTGTGCTGAGATACCTGAGAGATACATCTGTTCCTGCTGTGGATCCATTTGTTCGTCAATATTGTATCAGAAATGATCTCAGTGGTGACCCTTCTTAAGAATGGAAACAGAGAAATCATGTACGGAGGAGGTAAAGAGGGAGGTACAATAGCAAGTGCCTACAGCCATCTGGAAAACATGGTGGAGGCTCTGTAATGGTTTTGTGCTGCATTTCAGCCAATGATGTCTGGAATTGTGAAAGCATTGATGGATTTATGAATCCAAAAAACTGCCATCAGATTTTGATTCACCATCCAACAACAGCTGTAAAGCATCTAATGAACAACAGCTTAACTTTTCAACATGACAATGACCCAAACACCAAAAGACTCCTCCCCAGAGCCTGGACCTGTGGGATCATCTTAAAGGAAGGAAAAAAGGTACCTAGCATCCAAAGAAGAGCCTTGAATGTCCTTCAAGAAGCTTGGTGAATTATTCCTGAAGACTACTAAAAGAAATTACAAGAAAGCGAATGGTTGTCTGTCTCTGTGTGTTAGCCCTGCGACAGACTGGCAACCTGTTCAGGGTGTACCCCTGCCTCTCACCCTATGACAGCTGGGATAGGCTCCCGCAACCCTGAAAAGGATAAACAGAAGCGAATGGATGGAAACTCCTTAAAATAATACAGACTCTTTGCCTTTTATACTGCACGCATGTTTGCAAATCCTTTAATAAGTATAGCAGACATTTCCTGTTCTTCCTCACAGTGTACTACTACTACTACTACCAATACTTAATAACAATAATAATGATCATTTCAAACTATTTTAAGTATATTTATATAAGTACAGTATAGTATAGTCTATAAAATGCTGAGTGTACCTTTAAATTACTAAGTATTTAAAAAGTAAAGAAGTACTTGTTTTATTCCAATAGTGAATCTATATAAATAATGCATGTTTTATGTGTTTTAGCCACTCACCTATCAGCGTAAATACTGAAGAAAAGAGTCACACTCCCCAGGAACAGAGATAATAAACTTAACACCACCATTGCCATTTTCCAGGAAATCTCTATAAACATGTGTATGTGAATACAAACCAAAAAAAGCATCATTTGTTTTATGCAATTCATATTTACTCCTCTGCTAACTAGTAACTGCTGCAAATACATATCATTGGTTTTTGTCGAAACACAGTTTGAAAAAAAACTTCTCTACGTCCACTACAACCTTTGCTGTCTCACTTCTATTTGTCTCCATCTAGTGTTGGGAAAGTAAATATTGCTTTCTATAGTGTACAAACATCAACAATAAATCAAATATTTACATAAATAAAACTGGACATTCACTCTTCTATTATTATTATTTTATTATTTTTATTTGCAGATTTTACCACTGTCCACATGGAGAAAAATCATTGGATCTGCAGGGGATCTGGTGCTAAAATAAGAAGGAGTCAAATCTATATAAAAAAAAAATATAGAATCATTATTATTATGTGACATAAGTGTATATTATACTTCATTTGGATTAAAAAAAATAACTGTTATAGCCAAGGGTTAAGTGTGACATGGGTAGTTTGGGTACTCTAATAGTATGACATTTATTTGTGTACAAACTGTGACCAGCTGATGTATGCTCATGCTCCAGTATTCAGTGCTCTTTGAGTATTTAGCATTTCAACAGTGGGATGAATAGACCTTTGAAAAGAATTTCTCATCTTTCTCTGCTCTCTTTCTTAAATCTTTTTCCAGTTCTACACTGTAAATTTACAACTTTTTTCTCTCCTTTGAAAATTTAACAACTGCACATTTGCTTTGAAAATTTAACAACTGCACATTTTCTTGCAGACACATTTTGTGAGACAAGCTTCACAAAAACAGTTTGTGTATTTGATGATATCTCTTGAGCTGTATTTCAAGTTACTACTGCCACTTGCTGTTGTTACTCCATTTATGCACACTCCTTTGTCTGCACTATGAATACACCCCACGGATGAGGGAAAAAAGGATGTGTCAAAGGTGTAAGCAGTTATGGGCTGTCATGTTTTTCTAATGACTGAGCAAATATCTCAATGTCATCACTAGAAGAACAACTTTAACTAAAGGTGCCAGAATACTACTTTAACCCCGATTGTAAGCCTAAACTATGTCTTGCATAAATTTATCTTATTGCAAGTCATTGTCTAAAACAGGCCCGAATAGGAGTGGTTCAATCAAAGACTTCTAAAATGGTTATGTGTTTACATGCACATACACAACACTGGGTAAATTATGGCTGAGATATTCTTACCTGTTTCATCCTGTCTGTATACATCAGATATATGACTGGAAAGAATCTCTGGTTCCAACGATTCCCCCAGATGTAAGTGAGGATTGATATTTTTATGTTGGCTGGTTTTGCCATTGCATAGCATCTGGCTGTCAAGTGTTCTCCACCTGCTCCCCTGCTTCTAAAGAACCAGAGGCAAACGTTTTTATCTTTCAGCTTTGTGAAAACATTCAACAATATTCTCTAGCTTTTAAATACATTTAAAATAATGTAATTAAGATGCTATTATCATACCTGGAAAATTTATTTTCTCCATCCTTAATATTATTACCTTCTTATGTCCTCTTGAAAGGAAGACCAAAGTGGATTGTTTTGTAGCAGTAAGGTGGAGCCCCTTCCCTACCACAGTGAGGTGGCCTTCTCTGGAGCATGTCCATACCTGGCTTCCTGGCTCTCTTCTATCACCATCCTTGCCACTTGCAGTTCTGAAGACACAGGGATGCAGATGCACACCTTCATATTGCTCTCTTGGTGCAGTCAGACATTCTCCAGTGTGGTAGTTGCTGACAGCCCGGCTCTCTTGGTGCCAACGCCATTCCTGTATAGGTGAGCATGGGCTGCATTCGCCCAGTGACACTCTACCTCCTTCGGTTCCTTCTGTAATCTGCAGACATTTACCCAGCAGCTTGTTTTGAATCTTTAAGGCAGACAGCTCTGTGGATGACAACATACAAATAAAACATAAAAAAAAAGATAATTAAAGTACCCATAAATTATATGTAATAAATGTGTGTTAAAAGATGCATTTGGTATGTCTGATATGCAAAAAGCTGTATATTTTATTATTTAAAACAAGGTAATATAACTGGTTAGCAGTCAGTACCAAGCCCACATGCTTACCAGTAGAGAACCACAACCTTATCTAGGTAACCTACAACTGCTCTCTGCTGTACTCATTTTCTGTGTGTCAACCACATTAACATTACTACTTAAGTGGACAAACACATGCAAATCCAGGCAAACATGGCTCAACATGCAGTTTGTAACCACACAAGAGCACTTCATTCAACAGTAAAACAACTAAATAAACAAACATATGTTTATTTTTTTGTTGTCATTATTGTTTTAGGTTGATAAATCCTGCAATGGAGCTTCATCTGTTTAGCTCTGCAATGCTGTGCTTTGAAACCACTGACTGAACCTATGTGTAATGCATTTGAAACCAAGACTAACTGACCAAGCAGTGAAGTTCACACTTTATTACATATAAAAAAATCTAGCTGTTTAAATAAAAGCCTTTCGAGGTGTCAATCAGTTATAGTCTATAAATATGCCCTTCATTTTAAACACTGCTGTTTTTTCATAGTTCTGATGTAATGCAGGAGTTATAACTGCACCTGCTTTGCTTTACAAATAGGACAAAATTCTGGTGGTTTTTGAGAAAATGACACCTGCAGACCTGTTTCTCTGTTAAACCAACTCACAATTCATTAGGTACCATTAACAAAAGCAGTGATCCCAAAAATGCTGACATCTACAAGGGAATGTAATCCGGCAACCTGCGGGTGCTGCTGTAAGCTATGATCTTTGTCTGAACCCACACATAACAGAACAAAGCCAGTCCCAGGGCGCATAGAAAGGAATGAAATGTATCCACATTACTTCAACAAAGTTACAGCTACAATAAAAAAAAAGGTCTGGAAGGGCATGAATGCTGTGAACATATGATAGTTTGACATTTCAAAGAAAGTTTCAAAGAAAAACATTTTAATGTAAAAATCAATGGTTCAAACCCTGTCAGCGGTTTTTATCAATATATGTACGAGCTTTCAGTGAAAACAAGAAATTTTGGGCATGACCTTAAACTTCTCACCCACAGTTTTTGTTTGTATAGACAGATTAAATTTGTTATCTCTTTTATCAGCTTCATCACTTGCAAAATGCTTTTCAGCTACTTAAGAAATGTTTACAACAGTTCGAACAGCTAAAATTAAAACTGTTTTTTAAAAATAACAGCTATATTAATGAGGTAAACAGCGACACATGTTACCTTTGAAAATGATGAAGAGGAAAAAACAGACCTTCAGTAGCACTTTTCCCATTTTGGTGGCAGGCGAAAGTAGCCTATCCTATGGTCACGTGCTTGTGTTGTCTGAGCAACAGCAGCAGGTGGGAGGAGCTAAGCATTCACAATAATCAATAGATGAGCAATAAATACAATAAATAGTGACCATGTGACACTTTTTAATCCTCTTAAGGAGGAATGAAATGTTTAAGTATCATTTAGATTTCTTTGTTTGCAATGAAATGCTTCACAACTGTCCAGAGGAGTTTAAACTATTCAAGATCACTCTTACAAGTGCTGTCCCTATTCTCCACCCATGACTGGCAGACCTTTTTACAAATGCTAACAGTACAGTCTCTCCTTCCACTAGAAAACCATTGCAACCGATACCACCTTTACTGATAAACATGCAATGTTTGCCACTGTGGCACACATGAGTTATTGCCTGCAACCAAGGTGCTACGACTCCATGGAATACTAATTAGGTTTAAAGGGGTGTAAATCTGTTTTAGCAAGACAACAAGTCTTTGAGGAATGTTTGTGGGGCTGAATGGTTATGTGGTGTTTTTCTCTGTAAAGATTCACCACATAGGATGCTATCGGGATAAAATTCCCTACTCCTTGCACATAAAAACAGCTGGAGCAAAACATTTTTTGTCCTGTTTTCAGCTGATAAATGTCAGGCTTATGATTCAAAATTATTTCCTACTTAATGATCTTTAAGCTTGGGTATAAAACATGTTTTGGTAAAAAGAACAAAAAAGTTTGTTGCACATATGAACCAATGAATCAACATGAATGAATAAAGAGCTAAATTAAATGTTAAAATATTCAGTTTTATCAAACTTTAATAAGCTTATATTTATTTTTCTCTTCAATGGGGGACGCAAACACAATACTAGCACAAAAAGTAGGCAATGCATGTTTTGGCCTTTGAAAAAACAAAAAATAAAAAAGCAACATCAGTGGAGGATGTCAATTGGACTGGAGTTGTTCACCATAACTCCTAAAAGCCCAGCTCTATGTCACATTTTCCGATACATGTTACCCAAAAAAGTCAGAAACATTATGGTACATCTTGAGACAGTCTGGGACCAGGAATATATTCATATGTAGGATTTACAAAATGTCTTGACACATGCTCAATTATCCAGGTTAGGAATCCCAAAAAGTATATTCAGTTCATTTCAAGGTAACATTCTCAGTACGAAAAAATGTCTGAACAATTATCCAAGTGTCTAAAGAAATTGCTTACAGTTTATTTTTGGCTTATTCGCTTAATAAATCCAGTTCAGCTTCTACAGTCATTCATTCATTCTGATGCTGGTAAATGGACAAATATAGTGGAGGTTCTTCTCCATGGAGAGCAGTAGGGCCTGGATGTTGCACAGATGGTGCTATGAAAGCTGGAACTGAACCCTGTGAAGCAGCACCTTGTGGCCACTGGTTATAATCACTTGTTATATTTGCATGCTGAGTGGGATCTGGGGTGGGGTATTGATAAACACCTGACCCTGTGAGTATAGGATCCAATCCAGTGGTGAAATTAGAGGATGTGAACTCGCTGTAAGCTGGAGACTCAACTGTCTCAGGCCCCACAGCCTCACAACTCTGAGCTGGAGCAAATTTAGAAGGAAGGATGACCAGTGGGAACACCACCTCTGGGTCAAGGGCAAAACTAACGTCCAGATACACCTGGGAAACAGTCAGAGATGAAGAAACTTGTAAAGCATTATAATCTGCAATAAAGATGTTGTGTTAAGACACATATTTACTTTTTATTATTTATCCACAAATGTTTGCAAAAACGCAGGTTCATTTCTGAGGTAATACAAATCATGTATTGTTTCATACCTTTATGTAATATTCAACTGAGATGATTTCACAGTTATGGAGGGTGGGAATGGCATCGCTGGGAACTTTCAGCTGGCAGGAGGCAGTTTGCTCTGAGTTTGGACGGATAGTGTCTCCGACCATTTTGAACAGCGTTTCCTTGCTGCTATTAGTGTTGTCCTGGCAACTATACACCGTTACCTGCTGAAGTTTGAATTTGAGCCTTGTGTTCCTGGAAGAGGAGTTGCAGATTTTGGCGACAACAGACAAGGTTTCACCTGTCAAAAGCAAATATTAACAATAAGCTGCATTTTTTTTTTTTTAAGTCTATCAACATTTGCTAGAGCACGTTGCAGATACTTTACCTGGAGAACAAACTCCTCTGTTAATGGTAGCACAGATCTGGACCTGTCCCTTGCAGAGACCACTCATCTTTTTACGCACTGAACTGGACTGTGGACACTATAACAAACCAAATAAACATTTTTCCAGATCAACTAAATGCCTCATGTGGAGAAAATGCAGAAGAAAATACCTCAATGTTGTTTTTAGGCTTCAGATCTAGTCCAGGTAATCAACGCTGAATTCTCTTGTATGTTACATTTGCACTGTTGGTATGTTTGAACTGATGACTATCCCCAAGATGTATAAACAAAAAACTTTAAAGTGTAAAAGGTAATTCAGGTTTTTGAATCTGAAACATTTTTTATTGAATAGTTAGAACACATTTTCCAAAAATCTGATGTTTAACATATGTCACTCTAGTGTTTACCATCATTTGAGGAGTGTGTGGACAGGACTTTGACACAAAGTTGATCTCTTTTAGCACTTTCGAAGGCAGTCGCCATCTCCTAGATACCTTGGCTTCAAAGGTGTAGACAATATTTCCATGTTTTCCCTTAAAGGACGAAGGCATCCTTCTGTATAACAGACCTAATTAGGAATGCATTCATTTGCAAAAGCAAGATATGTATTAATGTTGGATGCTGCAAATTCTCACTTACCCCTCTGGGATTTTGAGCCTGAACTTAAAGATGTGCACTCTTTTTGGAAGAACAGTCCCTGCAAGAGTCGTTTGATTAACATTTGATCTCAATCTCATATTCTCAAAGTTAACTGTTTTCTTTATCTCTGCTACACTATTTAACCCATTGATACGTCCTTTTGTCTGGCTTTTGTTTTGTTTGGAATTACAGACAAAAGTGTTAATATTTTTTAACTATCGCTGCCAATAACAGATAATAAAAGACAAGTTAACCAACTTGAATTAGTTCAATCTTTTTTGTGGTTTGACCTGGAATCCTATCATGCACACCTCGATAACATGTCTTTATTTATTCATTTATTTATTTAGATTTTTGTTCTTATTATTTTGGGATATATCTTTCCTCAGACTCTTCACTTCATAAAAAGAAAAAAAAATTTTTTTTTTAAAGTAAGGAATCTAACTGTAGCAATTTTGCTTTTTAATACAACACATTGCCAAATTTCCTGATAAATTTCATAGCTACAAACACCTTTAAGTACAACAAACTCTGTTTGACTTTGACATCCTACCTTCATCGTTTTCTGCAACCAAGTATTCCTTCACTTTGAAATATCTCCTGCGCGCACTTTGCAGTCTCTCGACAGGTACACCTACTTCTGTCCATTCTACGTTAGCGTCCCCTTTGGCTTTTACATAAACGCTCTTGACTTTGACTTCTTTTGTCAGTCTGAAACTGACTGTACCCACTATAGTATCGCCTTCAGAATAACTTCTGTTGTCACTGATTGTTTCAAAAGTCACATTTAAGTTCTTTATCGGAGACATTTCAGAGCCGAGTGAAATGCAGAGCGTTTTTCTAGGAACTGATAAACTGAAGCAAGATATGACGGGAAGCTCCGCCTAAAGAGTGAGATCGTAATTTATGATTCTACCCAATATCACAACATCTAAATATCATATAAAGAGAAACGTCATATATTTACGCAGTTTAGGGTGATGTGAAAAAAACTACCAGGCCACAAACGATGTTCACAAGAAGAAGATCACATTCACAGCAAATTGGCAGGTTTTTAAAGTATATTCCAGTAAAACCCCGAAACCTATTAAAATATGCTTATGATGTACTGGTAATTGATCGCTAGTCCATCTGTAATGGACTAGCGATCAATCAAAAACTGTATAGAGTATCGCAAATTTCACCCCGTGACAACAGCGATAGGCTCCAACCCCGGGCTAAGAAAATTGAAGGATGCTCTTATAAACTTTTGCATCACCAAAATCACTCGTCAGAGTCAGACTGGGCAAAAGCATTTGCCCAGTGTGTAGGATGCGAGCATTGGGTATCGGTATAATTATTCGGAGATATTCCGTCCCATTCAGCAGAGAGAGTTTGTTTTGTTTCGTCAGCAATGATTCAGATTCGTCCCATCTGGGTGTTGAAACGAAACTATCGTGTCCTTTGTGCCGAATTGCGCTGAATTCTGAGACGTGGACTGATTTTGGCTCGCCCGTGATTATGCGGGAAAAGACTTGTTTCTAAGAAAGTCTGCATGCAGTTTGGTCTGAACGGTAAAAAAAAAAAAGAATCAGTCAAAACAATTTAACTCTTCCAGATTGCAGTGTATATTTTAGTGTAAATTATTTTGTGGACACGCTGGGTTATAATTGTCCGATAGGCCCTTCAGCAATTACCCTGCCTGTTGTGATTGCTTAGTTTATTGTACACATTACAATGATCTCAATAACGTCGTTGTGTCATGGTCCTGAGTTTAGTGTGTGTGTGTGTGTGCGTGTGTGCGTGTGTGTGTGTTTATTAATTTATATTATTTAATTTAGTGTTATTCGTGGTTTTAGTGCTCCCTACTGATCTGCTACTGTGTGTTATATCCTTAGTTTCTAGTCTTTAGGTTCCTGTTACTGTGCCCCATGTTCACATGTTCGTACATCTCCTATGACCCCCTGTCAGTCATGTGTCCTGGTCTCAGTGTCAAGTCGGTGTCTTAGTCTGTCTCATGTTTCCAGTTTTATTTTGAAGGCCTCTCGTCTAGTGTTTAGTCTAATCAGTTTTACTTCCTCCCTGTCTCGAAAATATTATGGCAACACTGAGAAGGCAAATCATTAAGATGTGTTGTGAGATGGTGTTTCTGTCTTAGTTCTCTAAGCAGAACTTCAAAAAGCTCAATTCTTCTGGCCAGTTCTTGTCTGAGGTTCAGACTAGGAAGAACGTAACTATAATATTGAACCAGAAATATGATCCCCCCACCCACTAGGGAACCACTCTCAGCTGTGGGTTCACCTTCTTCTGCTGAACTCATAGAGCAGCAAACAACCAGTCCAGAGAAATACCGTAGCATCACTTTCATCGCTCACTCCTCAACTCCTGTGAACCATAACAAGTGTGGCCTCTCTAAACATCAGTAACTAAGAAAACATGTAGGTAAAACAGTAGGTATCCTACTTATTGCTGACTTTATTATTATTATTATTATTATTATTATTATTATTATTATTATTATTATTATTATTATTATTAATAATAATAATAATAATAATAATAATAATAATAATAGTAGTACTGTGCTTGGGTTTTTAGACTCTACCAGTTACACAGATATCTCTTCCTCTGGGCTGTTTAAAGGGGCAGTTTATACAAATGGCCTTTTAAACTGCCCAGTTTATCCAAAGTTGTGTATATACCAGATGCTGTCAGGCTTCAAATGTATGTATTTGTCCTCTCCACAGTCCAAACCATTGTAAACCATTGATCTACTGCTTAAGTTCACATCTTCAGTTTGAAAATGGAGACAAGCATCGAAATTGATAAATTTTGCAAGCACAAAATGGTTAGTAAAAGAACGTCAAGGAATACTAAATTATGTAATAGCTTAAAATATTAATTTCCATACACAGTGCTTACCACTTGTAAATGGTGATGATCATCACAATACTGTTGATGTTCTGGTTTCTTTTATCAGAAACACGATTCAGTGAAACACAGCTGAATTAAATTCCCCTAGTCATGCATATAATAAATATGTGAGTCACATACAAAACTCATTTCTGCATGCATATACAGACTAAGAAACACATCATTTTAGGTAGCCCACATTTGAAACTATATATTATCCTTCTCTAAGCTCTGATTGTTGTACATATATTTCGTCATTTACATACAAGTTACTCACTTTCACAAAGCTCTGAGGCTAAATAAAAAAATACTCAGCATCCTCTACAAACATCCAGTACAAACATTTGCTTTTTCTCACCTATTTGTCTCCATCTAGTGGTGGATTTCCAACAGATAAAATTGTAAGTAGATTATTAATTAATTAGTTGTGTGAGAGCTGGAATCTAGGAGTTAGCGCTACCCATAGGCGAGTGCAAGCAGTTAGGATTTCTTAATTTGAGGTGTCAGTATTTGAAGGAAATCCTTTGTTGAGATTGGTGGTGTGACTGGACTAGAGTGGTCCATTGCTAAAGACGTAGGGCAAAGATAACAGTGTTAGGTCTGAGTCAATATGGTGCTTAGTATTGAGCGCTGTGTTTAATCTTTAGGACAGTTTTGGTAAAGTTTGGTAAAGCAGGAGGATTACCCCCTGTGAGCTTTGTGATTGTTTTTATAAATATATTCCAGTTTTCTGATTTTCACACCAGACTGCTGCTTCAGACTGCCTGGCTGTTTTTAGTTTTTATACTGGTTAGTATCGCTCAATAGATGGGAACCAACTGTCAGTCTGTAGTGTGACCTAACCTTGTTTTTTGTTTCCCCACAGGAGATGAAATGCTGCGGTAAGTTATTGTGGTTTCCTAACTGCTCCTTGCATGCATCGCATGTAGGGCAAGTTGACGTGTGGGCATTCAGTGGTTTTTTGATGGTTTTTCTTAAATAGTTCCCACAGTAGGGCGTAACGTATGTTATAAAAGTAGTATGTAGCATTATTCTTGACATTATTACCTAGTGTAACTCTCGTTGGAAGTGGAGAAAAGAAAAGAAAAAACAATTTCTTAACAAATCAGTGATGGTCTTTAATGGAAAAGGTAACACTCTTCCTAAATGTGTTAAAAGTGAGGCAAACAATGGAAAGTAGAATAACCTGCCCCCTAAATCTCTGACCACACTTACCACTTTTGTATGATGAAATGTACAAACACACAGAGGTGTGAGAAAACACATTGGTGCATCTCCCAAAGAGGCAGCGGTGGAAAACTATGAGCTCAGAGCAAAAACGGAAGGACATAAATAAATGCAAGCACTCACAATGACTGACCTGCTCTAACATGTGTAGATGAGTCAAAACGTTCTTTACAGTGTTTTTATTCTGAGTCTAAACTCTTGTGCAGTTCTCTGTTACCTATCATAGCTACTTTTGTGCTGGCGAGATGTTTTTGCCATGCTCGCTCACTCTCTCCCTCCCCACGCCCCTGCTTGGTTAAATTGGGCATATAATGGCAGAGTGTTACTGACATGTTGTGTGCGGTAAAAATGGTCATCACCACTGTTCAAAGCTCTTAAAAGCAATATATCTCACCTTTATGCTACAATCTTCTTAAGTCCAGCGTTTATCTATGGCAACTTGCTATACTATTGCTCAGGGCAAACCAATCTCTTCTCTCATCACACACAGCCAAAATGTGTTTGTCCCCCTGGATTCATCAAAAAATCCAATTAACCGTTTGCATTTTCATAATGTTTTAATATTCCAATTTGTTCCAGTTCATCTTAGGAAATAACTGTTTTACCACAGAAGGCAACCGCTGATTTTCTACAATATATTAGAGGCTTTACTCTTGATTTTTTCAGCTTTGACTAATAAGTAATCATTATATTATAACCAAAAACCTTCTATAAAGCTTCTTTGTTTCATGTACATTACGATAACACATTACATTGCAGCTGCTGTGCAGGTTGAGGAATGACCCTCTATCCCTTTGATAGCACTGTGACACATACATCCAAGTTTAGACATTCACCTGGTGGCAGTTTATTCCTTTAACCATCCATCAAGCTATTTTATTGGATGTTATCAAGATGCTGTCATGCTATGACCACAGTGCTCAGAAACATCTAATTTTAATAATGAAAGCTCTCAGTTATAAGATTTTATCAGCAATTTTTCAAAACAAAAGCTTCCCATTGACAGTAATCAGATGTGAAAAGTGCTTCTGAGTCTGTTTCAGCTGACAGTGAAGGCATTGCAGTATAAAACAGTAAGTGGTTTAACAGAGACCATGTTGGTCATCACGAAAACCATAAGCTAGGAGTAATGCTAAGTGTTTTGCCTCAAGAATTTGATATGCCACCATACATAGAACAACATAAACAATTCAACATTTTTCAAAGTAAAGTGCAGCATACTCCTAAGGATAACACTGCTAAACAGACCTTTCACCTTAAATCTCTAAGCATAAACACAAATATGTGACATTGTTTTTTATATATATTTAAAACAACAGACAATGCATTTACATTCCAGTTTTCAAAACACTGAAAAAACAAGCAAAATTATAATAACAAATATAAAAATTTGATCTATAACTAAAAACATGTCTGTTGTTAAATAAATTGTTATGTGGAGTATAGAGAGTAGAAGACTGACTAAAGGAAAATCACTTACTTCTCTTATTGTTTGTTCTGTCACTTCTTGTGTCTCTGGTTACCCTACTGATATCAAGAGGTGAAAACTGCTCAGTCACATGATTTAACCCCCAGTCCCATTTTTTCAGGCCCTTTAAAAGTCACAGTTTTGGGGTACAGCTCTGATTACTAGGTATAGTATATGGCCAGCTACGTCTAAATAAGGTATAGGACATAGAAACTTTCTGCAACTGAACACATTCATGATTTGTCCAGTTAGTCTTATTTTCCCTCCAAAAGATTAAATATTAAAAACACAGTTTTTGTATAAAACATTTAATTCCTTTGTGGGACAACAGCTGGAAGGCCTCATTCTGTCCTGCCAGTTGATCATCAACAAGAAGGGGGCAGCTTTATGATTCTGCCTTCTGAACCCTGTTTAACCCATACCCAACTGTGACTTTTGAGGTGTCCCCTGCTATTAACATTTGGCCCATTCACTTACACTCACAGTGTTTCATTTTGATGCTGGTAAATGGACGTATATAATGGAGGTTGTTCCCCCTGTAGAAAAGTAGTCAGAGTAGGACCTGGATGTTGCATTAAAGGTGCTTTAAAAACTGGAGCTGAAATCCCCTGTGCAGTAGCACCGTGTGACCACTAGTTAGAATTGCCACTTGTTATATTATCATGCTGAGTAGCATCTGGGGTGGGGTAGTGACCTGACACTGTGGGCTCAGAGCCAAATCCAGTGTGGAAGGTAGGGGAAGCGAAGTTGCTTTAACTTGTGACCACAGTTGTCCCAGGTAGGTGAGGCCCCACAGCCTCACCAGGCTGAATGGCTGCATATCTGGAAGGAACGATGACCAGTGGAAACACCACCTCTGGGTCAAAGGCAAAGCTAATGTCCAGATACACCTGGGAAACAGTCAGAAATTGAGAAACTTGTAAAGAATTATTATTATCTGTTCTAATTAATACATAGTTGAGACACACATTTCCGTGTAGCATATTTATTCACACATGTTTAGAAACAAAGCAGTTTTATTTCTGAGGGGATGTGATGTCACCAAGAAATTGTTTCATACCTTTATGTAATATTCAACTGAGATGATTTCACAGTTATGGATAGTGGAGATGGCATCATCAGGAATCTTCAACTGGCAGGAGACAGTTCGCTCTGAGTTTGGACTGATAGTTTCCCCGACCTCTTTGAACAGATTCATCACCCACTTCTTAGTAGACTCATTGCAGCGAAATACTGTTTTTTGTTCAAGTTTGAATTTGGGCCTCGTGTTCTTGGAAGAGGAGTTGCAGATTTTGGCAACAACAGATATAGTTTCACCTGTAAAAATCAAATCAGAACATTAAACTGCATTTTTAAATCTATCAACACTCGCTGCGCAGCGTGAAGTTACTGTACCTGGAGTGCAAACATTTCTGTCAGTGGTAGCAGACATTTGGACCCATCCCTGGGAGAGCCCACCTATGTTTTTACTCACTGTACCAGATTGTGGATGCTATGACAGACCAAATAGACAAACATGTTTACAATTTCATGCGTGTGATTTTTAATGTGAGTTTTTTCACAAAGCACTTTCCAAATATCACATTTATAGCACGTATCAGTGCAGTGTTTACCATCACTTCCCAAAACTGTTGAAACGTCTTGGATATGAAGTTGATCTTCTTTTTAATTTTAGAAGGCCACCACCAGCTTCTGGACATATTTGCTTCAAACATGTACACAATTTTTCCATATACCCCCTTGAAGGATGAAGGCATGCTCCTGTAAACAAAACCAGTGGGAAATGCATGCATTTGCTAAAGCATCGTATGACAGTATTAATAATTCAAATTCCCACTTACCCCTCTGGGATTTTGAGCCCGAACCTAAACGTGTGGACCCCTTTGGGAAGTACAGTGCCTGCAAGAAACGGTTAAACACTTGTCAGCAAATGTTGGCTTTGTCACAGAGCTACAGTGATATACTTACAATTTACTGCTGATCATTGAAGCCAGGTTATATTCCTTAAATGTAGTGTTTTCTTTATGTCTGCTGCTCAATTTAACCCTTGCATTCTTCCAAGTGTGTTAAAGCCTCTCACCTTTACCATTTCTTGCAATTAAGTACTCCTTCACTTTAAAATATCTCCTTTTTGCAGTGTGGGTAATCTGGAAATATCCTGTTCCTTCTGTCCATTCTGCCTTGACGTCTCCTTTGGCTTTTACAGAAAGGCTCTTAACTTTAACCTCTTTTGTCAGCCTGAAACTAACACTGCCCACTATAGTATCTCCTTCAGAATAACTACCGTCTTCGTTGATAGCTTCAAAGGTCACGTTTAAGTCCTTCATCGAGGACATTTCCGAGCTGAGTTGAAGACGATGCGTTTCTTAGCACCGATAGACCGATTTAAGGTGCATGACGGGAGGCTCCGCCTAAAGAGTGACATCGTGACTTCTGATTTCAGATAATAACAAAAGTTAAGAGATGAGATGCTCCACGCATTGATTTAAGTATGATATACAGTATAATGAAACATTTGAAAACTTATTGCAATTTACGTAGTTTAGCAAATAGATTAGCCTACTGAATAGTGCTGAACATGAACTCGTTAAATCGAAGTCACGGTCGTACTGAAAGATTCATACATCTCGCTAAGAAGACTGTGTTTGTATATGATCGCTGACAAAAAATAAATAAATAACCATAACCCTACTTAACAATCTGTTAATACTCCCTCCTGTAGTTTAGGGTACATGTAAATATGTCTTCAATAAAAATAAATAACGTGCTCGTTACATAAGAGCTTATTTACGTGTAGTTATTGCTGCTCATTCAAGAATTGTAAGCAAGCATATAAGTGCAATTTCAACACCATAATGCACATCTAAAGTAAAACTTCACTGCAGAGTTTGGTCATCCACATTTGCAAGTCAAAAATTACGTAAATGAGGGAAAAGTAGGTTATACACTTGTGTGATTTGTGTGAGCAGCGTTACCATGTGTGCGTGCGGTTTGGTCGCTGCTCTGAACCCAGATGAACAACTTAAGTGAACACCGCTGCCTTTCTGAGAAACGGCTGTGTAATGTGAAAAAGAGGGAGAGGTGTATAAAAGTTTTTTGTTGTTTTTTTAACTCACCGTTTTTTAATCGGTAGCAGCTAAATAAAGGAAAGGCAACCAAGGAGTACAGAGACCAGAGTAGCGATTAGGAAAATGTATTTGCAATCAGATTAATAACAGAATAAATACATAAACCTCCTCAAAAACATTGACACCTAAATGGAGAGAGAAAGAAGCCATAATCGTCTCTCAGGGGAAGTACTTTATTTTTGAAACCGTCTCAGCAATACAGCATGAGTATTCTCAGCTTGTCCTGTCTTCACCTGCCTCTCTGGTCTCCCTTGCCAACTTGTTCCTTGCTCTGCTTAGCCCTCTCTCTATCTGTGCTGCGTGTTCTTCTTCACTGGTGTTTACTGGGGTACTGTGTGTGTATTTATATTGTATTGTTGCCTCCTAATGATTCCTTAATCAGTCACCGACCTTTCACTGTGTCAGTTCTTCGAATAAGTCCAGTGAGTAAAGCTGCAAACAGAAAGGGATGGTAGCCAAAGAGTACAAAAACACAGTGTAGCAGTTAAAAACATTTGATTTATTTATAATTTCAGAAAAAGCCGAAGGCAGTTAAAAACAGCAAAAAATAAAATCAAGCTAGCAGTCCATTGTTGTACATTAAGTGCACAGGTGCAGGGGTCTTAAGACAAATGCTTTGGAACCAACCATCACAGCAACCAGTCTTTTAACTGTTGTGTCTCACTGGGGAATGCCTTCCCCATGCCAATGCCCATGCCCACACCCACGCCCACGCCCATGCCACACCAGTTCCCCCAGCATCCATCAGTTCTTTCCATTTTGATGCTTCCCCTTTCTCTGCTGCTGGCACATCATCTTTTATACAGAGTAAGCAGGTGTTGATAATTGCTTTGTTTAGGAAACTGTAGTAGGAAGTCACAACTTTTCAAAATAAAAGTATGCAAAATATATAAAAAGTTGCAACTATAACTGGACATTTCTATAATTAAACATGTCAGATTACTCTTTTAATTTACCCTGCATACACTCAATAAATGTCATTGTCCTGGGTCATTTTGACCCAGCATTCTTAGTTTTCTTGTGTTTTTGTATTTTGTTCATTATTTATTCCATGGCTCCTCGGTTGTTCAGTTTAGTTTATTAGATTCCCCCCCCCGTGTCTTTACCCCCTGTGTCCCCGTCCTGTATCTGTGAGTTCCTATGCCTAGTTTCTTTTCCTTGTGTTTTATTCCATGGTTTCCCCAGCTCGTTATGTCTGCGCCCTTTTCCCAGGTGGGTAAACCCCCACAGCCTCACCAGGCTGAATGGCTGCAAATCTGGAAGGAACGATGACCAGTGGAAACACCACCTCTGGGTCAACGGCAAAGCTAATGTCCAGATACACCTGGGAAACAGTCAGAGATTGAGAAACTTGTAAAGAATTATTATTATGTGTTCTAATTAATACATAGTTCAGACACACATTTCACATGTAGCTTATTTATTTACACATATTTACAAAAAATGCAGTTTTATTTCTGAGGGGATGTGATGTCACCAAGAAATTGTTTCATACCTTTACGTAATATTCAACTGAGATGATTTCACAGTTATGGATAGTGGAGATGGCATCATCAGGAATCTTCAACTGGCAGGAGACAGTTTGCTCTGAGTTTGGCCTGACAGTGGCCCCGACCTCTTTGAACAGAATTATCAGTGAGTTCTTAGTGTGGTACTTGCTGCGGTACACTGTATTTTGTTCAAGTTTGAATTTGGGCCTCGTGTTCTTTGAAGAGGAGTTGCAGATTTTGGCAACAACAGATAAAGTTTCACCTGTCAAAATCAAATCAGAACATCGAACTGCATTTTTAAATCTATCAATATTTGCCGTGCAACTTGAACCTTTATTTTACCTGGAGTGCAAACATTCCTCTCAATGGTAGCAGACATTTGGACCCGTCCCCAGGAGAGCCCACCTATGTTTTTACTCACTGTACCAGATTGTGGACTCTATGAAAAACCACATCGACAGAGAAGATTTTTATGATTTATTGCCTGTGATTTTTAATGTGATTTCTTTTATACCAAACACTTTTCATTTAGCACACATGTTACATTTCTAACACTTATCAGTGCAGTGTTTACCATCCCTTCCCAAAACTGCTGAAATGTCTTGGAAATGAAGTTGATCTCTCGTTTAACTTTAGAAGGCCACCACCAGCTCTTGGATATCTTTGCTTCAAACATGTACACAATTTTTCCATTTTCCCCCTTGAAGGATGAAGGCATGCTCCTGTAAAACAAAACCAGTGTGGAAAGTGTACATTTGCCAAAAAAAGAAGATAAAATGTTAATGAATATTAAATTCCCACTTACCCCTCTGGGAGTTTGAGCCTGAATTCAAAAGTGTGGACCCCTTTGGGAAGTGAAGTCCCTGCAAGATAAAGCTAAACACTTTTAAAAATGTCAGCTTCTTAAAAGACATACAACTATATTTACAGTTTACTGCTGATCATTAATATTTACATGCATATTCTTTGAATGTAGTGTTTTGTTTATATCTGCAACACTATTCGAGTAACTACAAAATACAAGTTAACCCTTACATACAGTTCATATTTCATGCTTTCACAGTATTTAAGAGTCAAAACTGACCCAGGACAAGAATGACCTCTTAAGTGTTTCCAACAAACTACACTACAGATACATTTACAATCTATAAATAGCTTGTCTGACATTAATAAATGGATGATTAATCCTTAGTTAATGTTTCAGAGAGCAGGAAGAGTGTATTTTTTTTATGTTTTTTAACACTCATTTTTAGAGGAAAAACATTTGCTGTCACAGAATAGCATGTCATGTGCCATGTAAGACATGAAATTATAACAGTCATAATTAATTAAATATAAGTGAAAATGGGAAGACAGTACTGGAACTTTTGGAATTTATTGTAACCATTTACAAACATTGCAACCATTAAAAATTGCCCTCACGTTTTATCATTAATTAAAAAATAATCACAACAAACATGCAGGTACAAAATGTGCTTCTTGGAAACTAGTCCGTGCATTTAAAGCAGTGTTAGGAGTAATTGCATATTTGTGGTACTTGCATGTTTCCTCAGCTCCCTAAAATGGCATCCATAATCTTGTGAACCTACAAACTCTCTTTTCATCTGTCTTGAGATCAACAAGCTCAGAATCAATTAATTTTATTGTGTTCATTTTTAGATTTTCTTTCAGAGTTGGTACTTGTGCTTGCAAGTGCAAGGCATGAGTACTAACAGATAGGCACATACCTGCATTTATGTAGTGCTTGTCTACTTTTATTGACTGCTAAAAGAGGTTTTGAGCACAAGTCAAATTGTAATCATGCATTCATACTGCACTTTATTCCTTACATTTCATCTTCCTCACATCCATGGCCAATTTAGAATAACCAGCTGTCCTAACACATGTGTCTTTGGGAGCAAGAAAACACAAAACATAACTTTTTTGGTTGTGGGCCAAATTATGGAGTGACTTCTCTTTTTACACCTTTATACTTTTTGCTATTGTGATTGATGGATTTTATGATATTCAATTGTACTTTTTTACTACACTGTACTATTTTTGTTTAAATTCAAAATGGATCAAATCTCAAAAAGGATGCACGGTTTAATCAGTTTTCATTGGTTTTCATTACTTGATATCTCACTTTATTTATTATAATTAATATTATTTTAATATTTAAACATTTTTGTTGTTCTTATTGTTTCAGTACAAATCTTTATTTCCATATACACTTAACTTCATGGGTAACTCTATTGGACACATGGCCAACTGCTTTTATTATAAAATTCTACAAAAAACAACAACCTCGCCAGATTTTAAAGGTAAGAGTAAAACCTCTTACCTTTAAGTGTTACACCAATTAAGTAATCCTTCACTTTGAAATATCTCTTTTTTGAAGTGACAGTCATTAGATAATCTCCTATGTCTTCTGTCCATTTTGTCTCTGCGTCTCCTTTGGCTTTTACGGTGAGGGTATTAATGCTGACATTTGTTGACAGTCTGAAATTAACTGTGCCCACTATAGTATCTCCTTCAGAATAACTACCGTCTTCATTAGTCGTTTCAAAAGTCAAATAAAAGTCCTTTATCGAAGGCATTTCAGAGATGAGTGAAAAGCGATGTGTTTCTCATCACAGATAAACTGATTTATGGGGCATGACAGGAGGCTCCACCTAAAAATTAACATCATGACATCTGATTTGACCACATTTATTACGACATGAATTTAAGCTGCAACCTCATTTTGACCAAAATGTGTCACCCATTAGTTGCAGAAAAATCGGGACTGCTATGTGTTTGGGTGAAGAAGAAAAAAATCTGGGTGAGACAAAGATC